AGCAGGAGCAGGCAGGCAAATCAGGGAGAGAGTGGCCTGCACTTATGCAGAATTAGGCATAATGTCACACTGCATCTCAGTTATTGCAAACTAATCTGTTCATGTCTTTCCATAGAAATAAACTCTGCTTAGATAAGTATTAAGAAAAAGCCAAAGTGCTGAACCATTGAGCAATGTTAAAGTCATCCTGCTTTTCATTGATTCATAGACCTTCTTTCTTCCTAATTTGTTTTCTGCCCTAAAGTTATCGATTATAAAAGCCCTTCCTATCCTCTTAAACTCGTCAGCACCATTAGTTCTTTGCTTATAGGCTTACTATTTTTGAAGAGAGATGCAAATGGTATTTCTATATTACATTATCCAGAATGTGGAACACTAATTCTATTTTTAATTATTTATTTTAATTTAGGTGGGGCTTTTTAAACTACTTTGGTCACTTTAAACACTTAAGTTCCCTGGATTTTCCTTCCTGTGGAAGATATGTCTATTGGACAACCTCCAGTCCTCCCAATAAAGGAACTGATTTTAATGACATTTATAAAAGTCTGCATAATTCTACTTGTTCTGCTATGTTCTGCTCTAGAGTTTCCACAGCAGGCAAATTTCCCATTACCAAGTGAATGAAAAGCACCAGTGCCTCTGGTCAGTACCCAAACCCAAGGATGGTGTGCAAAGATCACTCTCATGGCCAGTGAGGAACAGCAGTAAGAAGAAATGTTTTCTTATGTTGCAGATTCAAGATCTCAGGGAGTTGGTAAGCAATGCATTCAGTAGAGATTTTGAGGAACTATATTAGAGCTCTGTGACATCCACATAGGTTTTCTGAAACTCTTCATGCTCAAGACAAGGTATCCTGAGGTATTTGGGCAGCACATTGCTGTTGAGAAACCATCCATTCTCAACAATGCACTTCCATGCCTTCAGACACCAGTAACCCAGGAGTACGTAGATGAGAGCCTGAAGGCAAGTGCAGTATAAGGAGCCAGGCCCACACCCTTACACACACACTGCACCCTGATGTCATGGCACACACACCCCAGCACTGGGAGTGTGTTATGCTCACAGAGCCCTACACATGTCTGGGTTACACACACTCTCCATTCCCTGAGCTCAGAAACTAGTCTGGAGATAGAGGCAGTTGAAAATCTGACACACAAGAGATGCTTCATAGGCACAAACACTGTTATTTATTAGATACCACTTAAAGGGAAAATGAGGGGAGATGGACTATGAGAACCCTCTGGTATCTTCAACACCTAGAAATTATCAGGAAGTCCAGACTGACCCAGACCCCTTTCCCAGCACAAGTCCATGTGCAAATGAAGTAACAAAAACACCCAAAAGGAGATCCAGTTCTTTTGTACCACATTGCACTATTTCCTACAGCCTTATGGCAGTTCCTTCTGTGTGAGCAGAAGGCAACAGGCTGAAACCCCAGACACTGTGGCATTTCAGCTGCCCAGAACTACTTACTTCAGTTTACTTTGATGTTGTAGCTGTTTTTACAACTGCAATTGCCTCTGCCCAGTAGAATAACTGCACCCATTTATGTTATTTCCAAAAGAAACATCATGCTAAGACAGCCAGAAGAGGAACCACAGAGCAAATAATTATTGTAACTTCTGCCCAGCATAGCTCCCATTTCCTGAAAGGTCAAGTTTGTTTTAGAGCATCTCCTTCCATCAGTCCTTTTTTTCTAAACATGAAATCCCCCAAGGAGCCTTGCCTAAATACAGAAACAGATGGTGACACCAAAGAGATTGCCCTCACATGATTCCCCTCTCCCCCCAACACATTTCATTGATCAGTTGAAAGGATTAAATTGAGCAGAAAATTTCCAAGAACTGCTAGGCAGCAAGGCTGAACTTCCATGGGAAAAGCAAGGGTAGTAACACAGAGCCCAGCACTGCAGAGCAGCGACCTGCCAGTCCTGGAGGGTCCCAGCTCCCATCAGCACTGCAGATGATAGGAAAACCCCTGCTCCCCAAGCACAAGAGTAAAAACCCTTCCGTTTTCAACCTAGGATATCAAAGGTCTCACCCACATCCAGAGGCAAAACAGTTTAACAAGATGAAACAACGAGCAATCACTGTTTTGAAGATAACACCTTAGAAGACAGCTAAGGAACAGCAGAGTTGTGACTTTGTGGAACCACTTCCCATCGAATACAGCTGGCTGAATGCCAGTGGCACACTCAGCTTGAGCCCCTTAAGGAACAGGAATAGTTCATCCCCTTTTGCCTTTTAACTAGGAGTTTATATGGGGGGTTGTTTTGTCTTTAAGGGGAGCAACAACAACAGGCACTGAAAGAAAGAATAAAGTAGTAATGCCCCAGAGTTCCTGTATCAAATGAACTCCCAAAGACCAGCATCCTCATTCCTATGGTCTCAGTGACAAACTGCCGAGGAACTGGCCTTGCCACAAAGTGCATAGCAAAGCACAATCCTGAAAACTGATCCCAGTGGTGTTACAGTTTAGAAAATAAAGTTGCTTGCATACCAAGAGTTCTGCTTCATCCGTATTGCCTCACACTCACACCATACTGTCTTCCACTGTAGACTCTAAACTCCAGGATGCCATTTTCCTCTGCTCACTTACCACCTGGCACTTTAGGTTCCTAGACTTGGAAATAAGTAACATTTCCCAGTATCTATCATATAAAAAAATCAATTGAAGTCACAGATTCCTTTGGCCTTCTGTGCATTTTTTAGGGACTGACAACAGGAGTTACTTCTTGCATCCACACACCTGGATCTCAGCAGCAGAAGCAGGCTATGTCAGCAGGGAAAGGATGAGGGGATTCAGTGAGATCCCTGTACCCCAGGGAAAGGGCACGGAGGCAGACAAGCAAAGCACTCGGGCATTAAAGCAGTGTGTAGCTACCAGTGAGTGCACCCTCCCTCATCAGCTATCCATCTACTGAAGGCAAAAAGAGCACCAGAGGATGAGATGCAGAAGTCCATACCTGCAGATGCCTTCACCTCTGCGAAACCTCCCAGCCCAGCAGAAGACACGTTCAGGGATTGACATGAGCAAGCCACTGCTCTGCAACTGTACCACACCTCAGAAACAAGTCATCATATATCCTGCTCTCTTACTCATGCAGTCTGGGCTCCCCTTGAATCTTCATGTTCCCTCAGGCCCTCTTCCAGAAACTGCTTCTTCTCATACACGAGAATGAGCTGCCTCAGCTGTACAGGATTTTAGGAGACAGGCAGTAGTACTGCCTGTCTGACAGCTCTCATATACCCCATTCCTCCTTGTGCACAAACCTGCACAGCTCCCAGGAGTAACATGCTCCATGGGGGCTACAGCCATAATGGGTGCATCAATTTTACAGGAGTTATGCAGAGAGGAGAGGTGGCTTTGGTTGGCAGACACCTTAACGATGCACACAATTGCCCAAGTTGTCACTACTGGAGGGTTTTGGTGATTATTTCTTCGTGAATGAACATGGTACTCTCAGTCTCCAGACATATCTGCAAACATGATACTACGACAGGCTCTTGCAGTGCTTTGGTTTGGGTATGTATTCCCAGCCACTGCTGCAGCAAGAGGCAGGGATATCTCAGAAATGGACTCCACTGCACCATGAGCCCAAGTCAAAAATTCCCGTTGGCGCTGTAAGTTTTTTGGCTATAAGTATTGTGTGCACATCTACCTTTGCCCTCCTGGCACACTGAGGCTGTTCAATGGGTATTAGACATCTAAGCCTTGTGTTTTTTCTGGAGATGGATTCATATGCTCCTAGGCTTGGAAGCAGCATTGTGCTAAGCCAGCTCTCTTCCCAGCCTCAATGGGCCTTGTGGTTGCAAACCACACAACAGACATTGGCCTAGAAAGGCCCTTGCAATCCAGACAAAGCCAGGATCAGGTTTCAATACATGCACTTTTCAACAGATTGATCTATGTGATCATGAATAAGTGATAGCACAGATATAAAGAGACTTAGCTAATGGATACAAGATTGGTGGGGAGGGGGAGCCCCTGACACCTTAGACCCTTTTGGGAAGGAATGTAACTTTGCTGTTTTTTTTCTGATATGGGTCTGAAATGAAGTCATACAGCCAATCCCTGGGTTATATCTGATCAGCAAAAGCTGGACCAGCTGCTGGGAGGGAGGGTGCAGTCCAGAAGGCCACAGGTAAAAAGAGAAACAGTACCAAGAACAGCTGAGC